AGTTAACTTGGACAGTCGAAGGGTGGAATATAAGTTTGATCTCCTCTCCCCATCCAAGATCCTCCAGTTTTCGAATAACTCTGATCAGGACTTGCTCAGCATTGATACCGATGGAATTCAAAAGGCACTCACGCTTCTTTTCGCTTTTCGGTAAGTTTATTATCGCGATTTTTTGACATTGTTTCGTACCAATTTTCGCATAAACGGCCGTGCTATATATCCATATTAGAAAATTACTGACTGAAAACGCCTCGTAACGATCAAGTATCTTACCTCCTGAACGGCTTCAGCTTCTTCCTTTTTGAGCTGAATCCATACAACGCGCTGCTCATCGTCTTCAAGTGCTTCGTATTCCTGTTTCAGACATTCGGACATGGCGGGATGTCCCACTTGACGAGCCGGTGTAGATTTACGGACATAGCCTAGGCGAATTTCAGCTCCTAATTCAACAACTGAAATAAATGAACAGACTAACGGTAAATTCCAGCAATCCTTTCTCGCGGCAGAATGTTCTCGTCGCGGTAAGCCTTGGGCTGCGCTCGCTTGAGGGTTTGAAAATGCGGGAATCTATTACAGGTTCGCTTGCGATAGATAGAATTCAGGAAGCTCAGCTCACGTTTTGACTGCACAGGACCTGACAGCATCTAAGACGAAAGGACCAGAAAGTAGGCTCACAGTGGCCTTTGCGCAAGCATATCTTCATAGAAAATGGTTAGTATACATCTCAAACTCGATCAAGAATTCAATGCCTCACATAGCAATGCTTTCCGAATAGCAAGTCAGCATAATGGGGTTCGCTTAGACCCTTCGGAGGAGGCGGGAGACCCTCCATATTCGAGCGAGCAGTGCGCCAAATTAATTCAGAGGACTTGCTCATGAGGACACCTCGAAGGTCGCGAGAAGTGCGAGCAAGATTAAGAAGATCACAATTGTTAAGGTAGCCGAAAATCTAGGATGAATGCAGATCATAAATCACATTGTCATAGCAGTAGAATACGTTCGTACCTCAAACATAATATCGAGAGGAACATCCCTAGCAAGCCGTTCGAGGAGACCTAGCCTTCCTCGGACTTTCCGGAACTCCGCTGGCATTTTGGTTTTCTTTCGCTTCTTTCGCTTGGCTGATCTTCGTCATCCTCACTAGCATCGTGCTCCTGATCCGACTCTTCGTCGATTCTTGGACGTTTGCGATGAGTACTAGAGTTATTAGCGGCTAGGGGTTTACTGGGTCTGCTTGAATAGTATGAGCAAGTGAAGCTGCTTTGGCATGAAATCCGGAAAGCCTACGAGTTTTCAAGCGAACTTGATTGTTTCTGAATTCGAAGAGAGCGGCTGGGTCATTGCCAAATTGGTGGTTGTAAACAAGAGGAGGGCTGAGATGAGTCACGATAAATTGACGCAATATCCACGAGCACGTGAAACAATCGGAAACGGATCGGAGCTATATTTCCTTGTGCAGCAGTAGCTATAGACATGAAGTGATATAGAATATGCATTTATGTGAGTTAAGACTTTAGCGGATGCCTATTTAAGGTAACTCCACTCGTTCTTGAAGCCATTTGGAAACCAGCCTCGAATACCACTAAGCTCTACGCACCCTCAAAATTTGTCACCTTCTGAAACTCCCACTGCGAACCCAAGCGCTCCTGCACCTCAACTACACCTAGTGATAGAATTAGTTATATTAGAGCCGAGTTTGCAAATTGCACACTACTAAAGAAACGTACGAGGCTTGGTCCACATCGACTTTGTAGCAGCAATGAAAGGCTCATAGTATGCTTTCTTCGCTTGCACCTAAAATCCATTCATTCATTCGGAAATCCTTACTGTACACGACACTAAGACTCACCTCCGAGAACCACTCCCTATCCCGATTCCAGCTCTGCGTCATACGTATTTCGCCTGTCTCTCGGTTAACCGAAACAGTGAAAAGAGCGCAGTCGGGTTCTGCGCTGACGGCTTTATGTATAGGCTGTAAATGCTCGAGGTATTCATCTATACGAGAAGGATCGACTGTGATGTGGAGATAAAGCATGAGTCCATGTTGGAAAGTAGAATTCGACATGCTCAGAAACGTTTCGCAGTGAAAACGATGATTAAAGATGGGTGGAATGACTCAACCCGGGCCCTTCTTTTATACAAGTCTCGAAATCGGAACTACGTCGGAGGAGTTCGCATGTGGTAGGATTCCGAGTCGGCTCCGATTCGGATGAGTATTGCACAGAGAATAACAAAACTCAGAAAGAGCTCGATCTTGAGCTTGAGCCTCTCAAAGCACAACATAAGCGTCGATGCTACATAAGTAGTCAGAGGTCAAAGCGTAAAATTTTCAACTCCAGCTTATCCGATGGCATGACATTTTTCGTAGAGCTAGCAGTGGAGGAGGTCTTGTATCATAAGTGATTCGATACTCTGTCAAACGACCTTCTCAAACCATACCTCCGCCCTATCTCGAATCGTCTCCCACTCATCCTCATCTCCATCTCCATGATTCGGATCTGAGACACCCTCTCCAGCACCCCAAAATCCACCTCTAATCCCAAATCCCACCGGAAAGCGATCATGAGAATATGTATTACGCAAACCACTAGCTACTTCTTCGAGGCCCATCGCATCGGTACTGACTCGGAACCCAAACTGAGCAGTGATAATATTCGCCTCATGGACTGCAGCCGCCCAGAACTTCGATTGATTTTGTCCCGGAGAGTCGGTGATTGGGATGATTTCCTAGGGTTTGAAAAGTTAGAGTTGGGAGTTGGGAAGATATAGAGTGAGAGATTTATGAAATCGTTCTCGGCGAGAGAACCGAAAAAAGGAGAACAATGAACTCACCCGACTCTCATACATCGTCAAATTAAACATCGACTCATTCCAATGCCTCAATACTAAATGTGTCGACCATGCTCGGTCCCATTTGGCTATCAGCGCCGGCGCTGGTCCTCCTTCTCCAACATCCGAGTTGGAGGCGGAGGCAGAAGATTCTAAGACGCCAGGAAGGAAAGTAGGCAGCGAATCAATGAGTGCTTTACATGTCTCCGAGCTTGTATCGTTCTGCAATTCCTCCGAACCCGGAAGATACAAACAAAACTCAAACTCCTCATACCCAGGATTCCTATACCACCCGCTTAACCTCTCGAGGGTGCCTGAAGGTAATGACTCGTCTGCGTTCTTGGGTCGGGGAAGACGAGCAGCGCGGGATGATTTGTGGGATTTCATGAATTGAGGACCGGAATCTGCGAAGAACAAAGACGAAACGAAGGTAATTAGTAGGTATATCTTTTTGCTGAACAACCAAGCACAAGTCTTACCTCCCCTCCCAATCAACCAAATCTCCACCAAACCCAAATCTCTGATCAACGATCCTCCACTTTACAATCTCATGAAACTCGCTCCCAAACGCATCGTCGTTTGAGAAAACGGCAATACCGAATTGATCTTGTGGGGCGGGGAAGCGGGTGATTTGGGAGCGGAAACCAGTTGTGGAGCCGCCGTGCTGTCCAGTGTTAAGGGAAAGTCAGTATAAGGTATGTATGCGATGAAGGAAGGAGGAAGGAAGGACTCGTACCTCGATATATTCTGCAAGATACCATTACCATCAGCCGGTCGTTCAATTAGTAGTCGATACATACCATGTCCTCTATACGTTCCCCTCTCTTGACCACCTCCGTAAACAGTAGGTGAAAGCTCGGGGAAGGCCCTGTAATTCGTGAAAGGAGGATCGAATAAGTGTTACCAGCTATAAAGAGCGAACGACTCACGCATGACCATTCTTAACAGTAACACCCTCCGCCACCTGCCGAATAACCTTCGGGAGGAATAACCTGCTCGCCAGTCGTCGGGTTCTTACCTTCCAGCAGGAGAACTTGAGCCAGATAGCCTGGAGAGTATCAGCAATGAATCAATAGGCAAGAAAGATAAGGCTCCACAGCGTCTTTAGCATTCATGATAACACCTCCAACGCCAGACTTGAAATTCCCATCCTCACCGCCATCGAGATATTCATATGGCCAGTGCATCGCTCGAGGTGTTCCTGGACCAAATATATCATCATTATGATCGCCTTATCCCTCGCGAAACCATGAGCAAGCTTGGCCAGACTGGATAGCAAGATCATGAGAGTAGGTTGTATCATTCAGCCCAAGCGGTACGAATATGTTTTCTTTAACGTATTGCGCAAAGGGTGGTTGATGCGGCAGAAGGATAGTAGGGAGGTACGAGAGAAGAAAGTACATGATGTTGTTGTACTGCCATGTTGTGCGGAAGGGAGCGGAGGGAAGAAGATGGCGGAGGCGGGATAGCTAGAGTATTCGAAAAGATTAGTACTTGGTAGCTCGGGAACGAATAAAAGCAACAACATACATACAATAGTGCTGGTGCTATCATGTTCTGCCATACATTAGATCGTGTCTGCGGTAACCCTGTCCGATGGCTCATCACATCCATAATCGTTGACTTGTCTTTCAGCGAATTTATCGATGAGCTGCCATTCTGGTACCAAAGACGCGATCTTTGTCGTCCAATCCATGTCGAGACTCTTATTTGAGATAAGCAGACCAGTTGAGATGGCCGTAAATAACTAGAAGCAATCGTCAGTTCGTAATCAATTTGGACCAACTCGGATATTCACCTTGGAATTCGACGCGATACAAATCAACGAATTCTCAGTCATTTTCGCGCCATCAGCCTTTGCGATTCCATAACCCTTCGTCTCGATATGCCAAGTCTCGTCAACAAAGTTCTTTTGTACGACTGCGACACTGATCCCTGCAGGTGAATTCCACGATGAAAGCAGGTCATCGATGAACTTGTCAATCGTTTCTGTTAGAAATTCCGGTCCTGTAAAGAAGGTCGACTGAGAGGTGGTTGAGCCATAGGGCACGGTAAGAAGGAGGAAAAGTAGCGGTCTTAGTTGCATGATAAGGAAAAACATGTCAAGGTTGAACTTGTCAGAGTGACGAAACCCAATCACTGATATACATTCATTTGCAAAGTTAGTTATGTCCTTCTTAGCTCAGTTGGTAGAGCGCGTCACTAGTATGGAATCATCCTCTGGTATGACGAGGTCAGTCGTTCAAGTCGGCTAGAAGGAATGCCTTCACCTCCATTTCCTGCTCTTCTTGTTTTTTTGTTCTTTATTTTTGGACCGATCATTTTACGGCTACGGCTACGTTGCAGATGAAAAACAGTTGTTAATTTGAACTCTTCCAGCATTCCCAACCAAGCGAATCCGGGTCAAATCCCACAACAACGAACAAAATGCATTATCGACACTAGTTGATAAAGCTAATCTTCGTTGGTTGGGAGAGCTTGGGTTAACTTTTTTCTAGCAGTCAGCGCGGAATTTTCCATCTTCCATCTCATTACTCTCAAACCACCCGATCGGAATTCTCATGACCCTGGATGCTCTTCGACGTTTATTTGCACAACTACTATTTCGGTTAAGTATTCGCCTGTAATTTCTCTCTAATGTGGAAAGACTACGGCTTGACACGAAGCGACCCTTATTCACGAGATGCATGCTCATTCGAGCTTGGATGTTTACGGCTGTTAAACCATTCCTGCTCGGATCGGATGCTGCTGCAGGCTAGCGGCAGTCTTAGAGAGCTATAGTACACAGCATGGACATGTCTCCAGAGCAACGTATGCCACACCTATTTTCTTAACTTGCATTGATATCTTGAATACACGCCCAACCTCCATACCCTGAAACTATTTCCCGTCGTGCAAACCGACATATATATCCTCATTTCCTGGATTCAATCCCTTTTCCAATGATTCAGATCGGAGCTCGTACCCCCTACGACATCTAACCGTTGGACTCCATACTCATATCCATAGTGATCCATTGCGCCATTTGAGTGGACTGTCATGCCACAGAGTACAGCTTGATATGGAGGGGAAGTTGACTTCCTACTTCCATCTCACTGCTAACGTACGGTCTTTGTACTAAAGATGTGCGAGTGGCAATTTCCTCGCTACGGACCGGGAGATCAAACTCGAAAACTTTACAAGCGAGAAGAGGATGGCATTTATCCTAGTAAGAGACAGTTTAGCAAGATCTTGAACACGGTATGAGTTCCAGGACGACTTACTCTATAATCAGAAAAGCGGTATCCGATGCAAGCACGGGAGCCTCCGAGAAATGTCATGAATATTTCCCCAGACGCCAGGGATCGAGGATACATGCTTCTGGAAGCTTCTCCCAGCGTTCAGGTCTATGAAGAGGTGTGAACCGAGCGTAAACTAGCATTTTATTACACTTACTTGATTTCCAGAGCATCTCCCAGACCGCCTTACTGCAAAGATAGGATAACGATATGGCAGCCTTTCATGATCCTAAAAGATTTGGGTTTCGATGGTTTATAACAACTGATAAAATGAAGCGCACCGAAGTTCGTTGCATATATTACCGTTCTTATCAGTAAACGGTGTACTCAAGGGCAGAATGTCGTCTGCCACTGCTGCTCGAGCTGTATACGGTACAGGTGCATGGAACCGTAGGCATTCTCGAACCACGGAATCCAGATAAGGCAGTGAATTGAGTTCTTCCATCGTCATGCTTTCTTTATGCACAGGTTGTTGTCGATATTGTTTCATGGCCAGCAGCAACGAAGGTGGGTACCTCTGGCAGAAAATCCGATCAGCCTCAGTATAAGGAAATAGGAATAGGTAGAGCAACCACTTCCTCGTCAGACATTCGCTGATCTTCGGGGAGATCGGTACTCATATTCGAATGCACAAGTAGAGAGAGAAGATCTCTTGCATGCCATATATCAGTAGCTTTGATAAAAGCTCTACTTTCGGATAGCAGTTGCCTTCCGATATGGTCCATGGTCTTCCTAGCCGTACGAAATGCATGGCCACCTCGCATTAGGCTAAATAGGTCTGAAAGAAACCTGACTGACGATTCAAGAATGTATGACTCACAAGTAAACGCAGGGCGGGTATCACACCCTGAACAATCATCCAGGAAGTGACAGTAAAGGCATAGCTGAAAACGGTTGAGAAAGCTTCATGCAACTCGTTCACCTCGCTGTCCATATTGAGGGCATGGAAATTGTGATTGAATCCTGTGGAGTGCGTCTCAATGCCTTGCAAGTCGCAGTAAAACATTGGCTGTACCCGTTATGCCAATAACATCAAGAGTAAGCCTGCTCAACCAAGTCATTGCATCAATACGCGCAACATTCCCTTGTGCTTCAATTTCCGATATCCATATGTCCTTGGTCTTGATTGAGGTCAATGGTTAAAAATTCAACGTACAAATTGTTTTGTCAACCGACCTCGTCTGACTTTTCGACAAAAGTTTTTGTTAAATCCCGAAGTTCACTTGGACCAAAAGCTGGATTCTATGTAAATCGAGGATTTAGTTCAAGTCCCAGAAGCTTTGGAAAGGAAGTATCGGCGTTGAACCTTGTGTCTCTCATTTTCCACAGTGAAGAGACCTTTGTAGCGGAAATAAAGCGCCAAATACAACTAAGGAGAGAGATCGCGCTGAACAGATACCAGGTCCAGAGATGCGATTCATGTTCCATATCGTCAACTCGGGTTTTCCATAAATATGACCATTGAGTATATGGCTTAAAGCTTTGGGATCTACAGTGGTGTAAAGTCGACTTGTCTGCGTGAGGCGATATCTGTAAGACAGGACTCTACTCGAGGATCTGATGCGACTCACATTGAGCAGGAATTTAAATCTCATTGTAGGACCATACTCTCCAACCCATCTCTTGTAAAATATCGCGTTTTCCTTTATTACAAAAGTAATGATATCAATCTATGGGTATAACAGTACTTAGTGACGAGGAGTGTTGCTTACGGTCGCTTGTGCTTCCCTGAAATTTCCGAACCACCAACTCGAACTAGGCGGCCCAGGAAGGTCATGTGAAGTCGATGTTGTATTCACAGTAAAGCAATCGAATGAGGGAGATAACTCCGTAGACCGAGAGCGACCCTGTAACGGAAGCCAGGAGCTGGAACGCAAAATGGATGAGGATTCAGGGATGGGAAGTCCGAATAAAGCGTATGTCATAGGTGGAGGAATGAATATTCCGAAAGGAGAATCGGGAGAGCATTTAAATCCAAGGAGATGAAGAACCTGTAAAGATCCAAAGGTATGGTACAAGTTAGCGCGTCGAACAAGTTTCGAACAGTATTCAAAGCTTGGAATCCATTGAATCGGCTGAAATACCAAGCCACTTGTAACGATACTTCGGATTCGGATATACCTCAGTTATACCGTGTAACCCATTCGACAAAGCCAGTGCAATATCAGTTGCTATTTAGATTTCGAAGGATCACGAAGTATTCCAAAGGACAGCACTCGCCTGGCACTCGCGAAGAAACCTTCCCTCCCGTGTTTGACGCTGAAGATTCCTATAGGTTGATTTTGAGCGTGAACAAAGGTTACTGAGATTAATGAACGATGTAGTTGCGTTAGGAAGCACCTCCGAAAACGATATAGGCGGGAACTAGCGAGAAAGCATCGCGTTACGCAGAAAGAGAAAACTAGCAGGCTTACAGAAGAAACGAGTCAGAAGCATTCCATTAATACATGCTAGCGAGATGAAATGAAATGACCAATGCAAGTCTCTACCTATGCCACAGCCTATGGATATATCAACATACCGTAAAATCCCCGAGTCTTGGATGTTTATGTCGGTTGTGACTTGGCTGTTTAACCCTTTATACACATAACGCATTCCTCCTCCTTCGAGTCTGTTCTGTTCCAAATAGTCCTCTCGAGTGGTACAATGGGGGAATTGCAAATGGATTATTATTCGGATTTTCCGGTTAAACGAGGAGCAAAAGGAGGAGCAAAGCACTATGAAGTTCTAGTGCACAATAATACCTGCTACGCCACGATTATAAGGTGTCATATCGCTGTGAACTCGACGCGCTGAAAACCAGTGTCCCATACAGGGTATACAGTTTTTGGCCTATAAAATTTCGATCCTTTTGGATCGATTGAGCACTGGCAAGTTAGAAGGTCGGAGGGAGCACATACCTCTCCTCCTGTACGACAAGATTACCAACAATTAACTAAAAGTTTCGATAACCCTCATATCATCCTTCTCCGAAAGCACCCTAAATCTTGGTCCTGCTTCGTATTTGATTATGGATGATCGCAGACAATCAAGCATCCACCGAGGTTTGACCATAGCTACGATATTTTAAATGAAAGACCGTCAAAGTCGAGGGTAAGAGATTTTCGGTACAAGTGGCGCCGTTTGTCGACACAGCCAGAGCTAGTCCGATAGAATGCATCTCTATAACTTCTGAGAGTGATAAGAGTACGTTGGTGCGAGAATTTAATGGCGATGGGAGAGATCCTCTAGCTCTGTGATGAGAGTGGTCCAGTGAGCAGCTGTCGGTGTCGGCGCGTCGCGTACATAATGTGATCGGAAATAAACGGGTAGATAAGATAAGATAATTTACATAAGACTGACACGCCTGTAAGTTTTCAAAATTCAACTTTCAACGTCAACCACAACCTCGGTTCGCTCTCAGCATCTCACTCTCACAATCTCTCCAAAATTTGGTGAAGAAGAGACCCACGGAAATCTTCCAATGTCGTAGCATTAGCTTGCTATCCATTTGGTTCTCCTGCTCCGGCTGCAACTACAAGCTCTTGCTTGACCACCAATTTGAACCACGGGCACACCTAGAAGTAAGCCTATTTCATCTTCTTAAATGGTTTTCGCCTGGTCTCTACCATGATGATAAAATAACTCAGCTCACTTCGACGCCAAACGCGCATGAGACTACTATATATATTTTTTCTGAATAATTGCCTGGTGTTAAAATGCATCTACTAACATGTCTTCCCTTAGTCTAGCAGCGCTGCATGAATTCACTCGCCAGTCCTGTACTTCATCGTTAATTTAAGGATTTTGGTGCACAGAGAAGCTCTCCTCAACGTGTGGCTGTCTTGGTGTATATCTTGGTCAAAGCTTGAGTAAGCCTACATACTCCCTATGTGTACACGTACTAACTTGTTCATTATTAGATTACAGCGGAGCTTCTTTGTCGCTCTACAATCATCCATCTTACCCATATCCGCCCTATATTGGACAAAGTTTCAGAAACG